CTCCTGGCTCCTGGCTGTCGGGTTCGCCCGCGTGCCCACACTGCGGCGCGCGCCCGGACGCACAGCCTGACTTTGCGAGATCCCGGGAAGTTGAACCCGCCGCCATCTGGCGAAAGCGAATGTAATGTGACTTGCTAGTGTGAATATCCGATGCCACCGAACATCCTCCGAACTGGGGGTTATTTTAATTTGGGATTCCCCTCCCCTCTCCTGGCTGTCGGGTTCGCCCGCGTGCCCACACTGCGGCGCGCGCCCGGACGCACAGCCTGACTTTGCGAGATCCCGGGAAGTTGAACCCGCCGCCATCTGGCGAAAGCGAATGTAATGTGACTTGCTAGTGTGAATATCCGATGCCACCGAACATCCTCCGAACTGGGGGTTATTTTAATTTGGGATTCCCCTCCCCTCCCCCACCTTTTCCTCCTCCCCCTCTCGCTCCCGAAATAAAACCGACGGGACCCAGAAGGGAAGGCTCCCCGCACGTCCCACCCGCGCGCACCCACGGTTCCTGCGTCGACATAATCTTTAGTGGAACAGGACCGGCCCGGACTCGAACTGCGACGTTTAGGTAAACGTGCTTTGCAGGAAGGCTCGGGGACCTGGCTAGCTTTTCCTGTACCCTCCAGGATGGCAGGCGCCTCGCGTCGGCGGAGCCCTTATTTGGCTGTGCTGCGTGCACCTCTCCCTTGTCGTCTGCGTGTTGTCAGTGCTGTGTGACTGTTGTCTGTCCCCTGAGAGCAAGGGCATGCGCGTGACGCGTGTCCCGGGCAGCTGGGCCAGGGCTGGGAGGGTGCATGGCTGCATTTGCCTACATGTTTGCAGACATTCTGGTGTCACTGAGGTTGTTGCCCGACCTTCTGACTGTCTTTTCCACTCCTCTGGCCTTCACCTTAAATGTGTTTTCACCTCACTAATCCTTACTAACTGATGAAGCGATAGGAAGGAAAGAGCCCTCACTGTCTGAACCCTACCCGCTTGGGTCTTTCTCCTAGCAGGGCTTCCCCTTGCTGCCAGACTTGCAGACAAGGCACTCCTCAATGCCCTGTGGCCTGCCAAGTGCCATCCGAAGCATTCCAGCGTTGCATGTTTCAGTTTTGATAATATTGTCGCAGGGGAAAGTTAGTTCTGGCTGTATCTAGGCTGTAAATTGTTTGCTAGAAAGTATTAGAAAACCCCGGTCAAGGTCTGAAGAACAGAATGTACCCTGTCCAAGTAGCTGTATGCAATGTTTAATCAGTGCAGTTCAGAAATTCCTAACAGCCTTCCAAACAGATTATTGATAGTGATATTAAACTTTTGGAAACCTGTTGGAAATGTAGTAGTGGAGAGAGCCAAGGGTGGGATTGAGGAGGCCAGTAGAGAGTGCCTTAAATGTAGAGGTGCGCCTGTGTCCTTGAAGGTGTTTGCTTTGGCCTTGCGTATTGCAGAGGACAGCTTCGTGGTGTGATGAATGCAAAGGCGGTGAACTGTAAGAACACGGTCTGAGCGTGCGTACATGTAGAACATACGGAGTACACAAGCGGTCTGTCAGAAGTTAAGACTAGACTGAAAGGCTTTTCAAACAAACTTTGTGGGGGAGGCAATCCACGCAGGCCTTTTTGTGATATGGTACCGACTAAACGCTAATAAAAACAGAACTGTGTTAATAAAATCCCTTTTAAAAACAGGTGTGAATGGGGAGGGAGCTACAGGAGGGGACAGGCCCCAGGAAGGTGTCAAGTTAGAGAAGTACACACCAAACCACAGCGTGATGGGACCGTCTGCCACCTGTGGAGGTGGTTGTGCTCCCACACTGCTGAATATCTCCACTCTCTACCTGCCAGTGTGAACTCCTGTAAACTCTCAGGGACCTTTCCCTCCTTCTCTCCTGTTATGAGTTTATGTCACTCCCACCACCCCCTCCCTTTCCCTTTCCCCAAACTGTTGTTCGCGTTCTTGCTCCCTCCTCTCTCTCCCTCCCTCTCTCTCTCTCTCTCTCTCTCTCTCTCTCTCTCTCTCTCTCTCACACACACTTCACACACACACACACACACACACACACACACACACACACACACATGCACCACAGAGTAGGGGATGCCCTGGGTCACCAGAGTTGTTTCCAAAGCCCAGGCATTTGGATCACTGAATTCAATGATCCCAGCGCAAGAGCACCAGCTCCCACATTTGGGTGCATCAGTTTAGGTTACATTAAAATCTTTGTCTCTTCTTTCCATCCACAAGTGCCAAAAATCCCTTTAATGTAAATAGTGTATTTATAGGAACAGCTTGACCTCTAACTTTTATCTTGAATCTAGGAAAAAAAAAATGGAACCACATTTCTGTATGTTGGGAGGAGACAGGAATCTTAGTCTTCCCCCTTTCCCGGCTCTGTTGCAAATTCTGTGCCTACCATCAAACTGTAGGAAGGTCCCTTATTCTTTTGAACAGTTCTGGTAGAGGTAGTATTTTACTAATTTTTAAGGAGAAAGATTTAATAATTTGCTGCAAGTCAGTTCATTTCAATCCTAGTCCAAATCTCCCTATAAGCAATGTTAATTGCATTACAATTTTATGCAACCGCTTCTCATAATGAAATCTGCTCTGGAGTGAATGAATTAAGCCCAGATTCTCTCCTGTGGAAGGATATTTGGACGTTTTATTTGTGTTCCATCTGACTTTTTGTGTGTGTGCGTGAACGTTTCATTCCGTCTTAATAGAAAATACAAATTCTTATAAGGAGGGAAATGCTTGTAAGCTTGACATGGATGTAGAATAATAAAGTTTACCATTGAGGGACGGTGTGAGAGTGGTGTACAAGATCTCCCTAGAATCTGTACTTGACTTTCCTTTACCCGGTTCGCACCTCCCTGTTTCTTTGCACGAAGGACAACTTCTGACTTCCCCCGCTTCGCTGGACTCTTGGATAAGAAAAAGGGAGAGAGCACCTCTGGGTCAAATCGGTTTGTTTGATATTTTTAGCTTTTTCGTAAGAGGGTGACAGATTATTTCGTTTCCAAATATTTCTAACGATTTTCTGCTCAAGTGTAAGATAATGGAGCTGAGAGTTTGTAGGAATGGTGAATAGGGGATGGGGGATGGGGAAGGGGTTTTTTTTTTTTTTTTTTTTTTTTTTTGATAAACGGTTTCTTCCTCACGGGAGGGTAAAAATATTTCTGTTCATTCTCCAGGCCGAGATTCCTCTCTCTCTCTCCTTTTTCCCCTCTCTTTTTTCTTTCTTCCTTTTAAAATGTTTAAAAGAAAGTATCATTTGAGTGATTTTGTTTTATATCCCAGTATTGAAAGCTTTTGCTGTGCGCTTGAGTCCGCATTTGGTTTTTGTTCAGAAGAAAGCATTTCTCTCTCCTCTGTAAGATCTCCTTGTTTCACAGTACACAGGATGAAGGGGTTCAGCACTTTTTAAGTCTAAATAAAGTAAGAGTATATATTTGAGGACGCCTGTCCCATTCTTATGTCTGGGATCCCTGGATTTTAGTCTTTTTCGGTGGATCCTCCCGTCGGATTGCTGGAATCCTATACTCTTTATAAGCATACATTTTCAGCTTAGGGTAGGGGCGATTGCAAGACTCTCCTCTGCACATCCTTCTCAGTCTCTTCCCTTTTCACTATTCACCATCCCTTTCTGTCCCGGCACTTGCATGGGCCCCTTTTCCCTGTGAAGCAGCTCTGCCCTTGAACTTCTTTCTAGTGGAGCAGCAGCTCTGCTCAGCTTTTAACCAAAGCTCAGGTAAGGGCGGGACCAGTTCCCGACGGCGGCTCTCTGCCTTCGGGGAGGGAGACTCGGCTTGAAACTAGGTCTAGGAGAGAGGAGAGGCGGGAGGTCGAGCACAAGGGACTAGGAGACCCTTGAGAGGGCGAGGTACGCTGGCCCCTGCTTCCGCATCATGGGCAGCTGCCTCCAGCCCAGACTTCCTTCCTGGGTGACTCGAGTTGTAGAAGACTGCAGGGCTAGGAGATAGGAAGGTGGGGTGCACGGAGGCCAGAATCATCACGTCTGGTCCCCAGCCTAGTGGGGTCTGACAGATACAGGGCTCCATTGGTTCTGCTTAGGACTCTGAAGAATGTGTCCACCAGGCGGGAGCCACCGCGGCGGCGGGTACGAGGTTGAAGGTATGGGTTCTGTGCTTCTGTACAGAGAAGCCAAGGCCAGGCTGCAGGCGGGAGTCACCAGTGTCTCGAAGTGAAGATGGGGAGGCCATGGCCTTCGGCGGCTGGGCACTTGAGGGAGAGGGCCCAGAAGTGCTCATAGTCTGTGCCCTAAAGGCTGGGACTGGAGCTGCTGGGCCTGCGGTGGGCTCCAGGGCCCCAGCGCCTGCCAGTGCTGTGCGGGCAAATAACCTCCGGGTTTGGTATTGGTGTGTTTTTTAAGCAAACCTCTGGCACACTTAAGGCTGCCCAGCAGCAGCCACCTTGATACTTTCGGCAGAGCCCCACTGCCACCTTCCAAACTTGGCCTTTGGCGCCCTAGACCTGCGTGCTCGCCTCCCCTGCGCTTTTCCCCTCTAGAGTGCCCGACATCTGTCTGCCTCTTCTCAGGAAGGGGTGAACCACGGCCTGGGGTGGGAGGGAGCGTTGTGGCTTTTTCCTGTAGCGCACCCTGGACTGGACTGTACACACCGATTAGGGGTGGTGGGGGACTGGGGCAGAATGGGGCAGTTTGAAGCTGACTGCGTGAGCGTGTACCTTGGAGCCCAAGGTAGAGACTCCCAAAGGAGGAGCCGCCACTGTTTTCTGTTGTGCTGTAAGGCGCCTTCGAGGTTTGGGTAGTGGCAGGAAAGGGTTAACTGGGCACATGAGCCCAGAGGACTGTACTCAAGGTTGAGCCCCTGTCCCCTCACCACTTAGCAACCCCAGCTGTCACTTCCACTACCACCCCCACAACAGGTACTTTTCCCAGAGTTTGCTTTGTAGCCTAAGGCAGGACCGATGCCTGGGCTGTGCCCTTAAGTCCAGAGCAAGTTCCCAAGAAACTAGCCCTTCTCAGAAAGGCCAGGTCCTGCCCATTATGTAAATTTAAGGGGAAAATGGCAGATCTTCCACCCTTCTCTAAAAATAAATTGTAGACATCTTGGTATTAAATGCCAAATGAGAGACCCACAAAAATCATTTTTCCCACTTCTCACTACAACACACTATTTAGGGTATGGAATTCTGTAACGTGGATGTTGCGGTGAACTGACTTCAGAGGGAAAGAAACTGCTTCCCAGCTTCCTTATTTCCTTAATCTGTAGAAAACTTTGTGCTTGGTAGATAGAAGGTAATCCAGGGAGCATTTGTAAATGCAAATAGTTAAGTATATTCCACTGAAACTGTATCCTCACACAGTTTTGGTTTATTAGGTTAAATTTAAAAATTCTTTCCAAATGATCTACTGAATAGCTTCTCTTCTGCCAACAGCTACCACCTTTTATTTCATTTTCAGGGAACTCCCTTATCTGTCAAAGCCCCCTTCTGCTATTTTTAGTAAATGACTTTTTTCTGTGTGTGTCAGGGGTTGTTTTTTTGTTGCTGTTGTTATGAAGTATATACTGAAAATTTTTTTTTAAAGCTGGTAAAAGTACTAGCCTCACAATTAAATGGACTCTGGATACCAAAATGAAAATAATCATCTGGTATTAATCAAGTTATGTCTCTGCTTCTTGTTGAGGAAAAATACAGTGACGATTTGCTTTCCTTTTCATCTGAAAAGTACTGTAAAATGTTGAATGTTCCATAAAAATTACTTTCCCCAATTTCTGTACAATTAATGAAAATGTATATGTTTTATACTGGACAGTTAACACGAGAGAAATTTTTCTGCAACCACTTAAAACAACCAGGGCAGTAACGTGTAGCAACCGATGACCTTGTGTGATCCATCAATCTTTATCATCATTGTCATTGCTATTATTATCTGAAGTGTTAACTTGTTGCCAGAATCAATTCAAGTGTACTTTGAATACCTTTTATCCCAGTGTTGTTTTAAGCATTTTTGTTGAGAGACCATTAATTTCCAACTCATAACTCCAGTGAAGTTTGTATATAATGAGAGTTTCTGATTTTCTCTTTTTTTCTTTTTTCCTTATTTCTTCTTTTGAAAGAAAGGATGTAAATAAATGGCATATGACATAAATCACTGGCTGATTAAAGTGATACAAAATTATTCCTAAATTGAGGAAAGAATAAAGTATGATACAATTCAGTATAGATCACTGTTGAGCTAATACATGTTTGATTTCTTTTTCAGTGGAACAGCAGGACTAATTTTCCCAAATTGTATCAGGTCCTAGCATAGAAACCCCCACAGTCACCAGAATTAAAGAGATATTTTTTCCAAGCAAAATATAAAGGCCTTAGCAAGGAAAACATCCTAATCCATTTGTGTATTTTTTTTCTTCTAGATTTGTTGGTATTAATGCATCTGACATCAACTATTCCGCCGGCCGCTATGACCCATCGGTGAAGCCCCCCTTTGATATAGGTTTTGAGGGGATTGGTGAGGTGGCAGCCTTAGGTCTCTCTGCCAGTGCCAGATACACAGTGGGCCAGGCAGTGGCTTATATAGCACCTGGTTCCTTTGCTGAGTACACAGTTGTGCCTGCCAACCAAGCAACTCTGGTGCCCTCAGTGAAACCAGAGTATCTTACCCTGCTGGTAAGTGGCACCACTGCATACCTCAGCCTAAAAGAGCTCGGAGAACTGTCAGAAGGGAAGAAAGTTTTGGTGACAGCAGCAGCTGGGGGGACTGGCCAGTTTGCTGTGCAGCTCTCAAAGAAGGCAAAGTGTCATGTAATTGGAACCTGTTCTTCTGATGCAAAATCTGCTTTCCTGAAATCTATCGGATGTGATCGTCCCATCAACTACAAAACTGAGCCTGTTAGAACCGTCCTGAAAGATGAGTACCCGGAAGGTATCGATGTGGTCTATGAATCTGTCGGGGGAGCCATGTTTGACTTGGCTATAGATGCCTTGGCTACCAAAGGGCGCTTGATAGTAATTGGGTTTATCTCTGGCTACCAGAGTCCTACTGGCCTTTCGCCTGTGAAAGCAGGAACATTGCCAGTCAAATTGCTGAAGAAATCTGCCAGCATTCATGGCTTCTTCCTGAACCACTACCTCTCTGAGTATCAGGCAGCCATGGAGCATTTGCTCAAGCTGTGTGCCAGCGGGGACCTGGCCTGTGAAGTGGACCTGGGTGACCTGTCTCCAGAGGGCAGGTTTACTGGCCTGAACTCCATATTCCGGGCTGTCGATTATATGTACATGGGGAAAAACACTGGAAAAATTGTAGTTGAATTACCTCACTCTGTCAACAGTAAGCTGTAAAAACAGAACAATGACATAAATCAAAGGAGAAAGAAAATGAGTACTTTATGCCTTAGAATTACTCAAATCAATTTATTTTAGTTGGTAGTGGATATAATATTTTTAAAAACAAACAGTAAGGTGTTAATGTAGATCCCTCTCTCTCTCTCTCACTCTCTGTCTCCCTCCCTCCCTCCCTCCTCCCCCATTGGACAAAAAAAAAGTGCCAATAAAAGTTCCCTCCATGGCCAAGAGGTAAAACATTGACATTCGATTCTTTCGTCATGGACGGTCTCATTCCAGATTTTATTGTTCCAAGGAACTAAATTAATTCCTGATGCAGCGCCTGATCAAATCAGTATGTCTTCAGCTTGATGAGATTTTAAAATCAGTCTTGAAAACAGTTCAGAGTCTGCTTTGCTGTGGGTGACTTTGCTCTTTCATTAATAAGTAGTCTGCAAGTGAGAGGTACAGCAAAAGACAGCCATGTATTTTCACAGTCCGTATCCTCAGGAAATAGCCCCTTACCATTTTTTCTATATATCACTAAACTATCTAAACAGACATTTGTAGAAGTCTCCTCAAATTTGGTTTGCTTGTTTTTAGAAAATGATTCAGCAAACATATGGATCTTAAAGAAGAGTCTATTTGATACCTTTATCCAGCATCATCCTGGTAAGAGGTGCAGAATGGAAAATTCCCTGATCTTTTAAGAAGCCAATTAGTGTTAAAAACTTACCTAGATAGGAAGTAGATGTTAGAGAAACTAGAGAGTTTAAATTCACTTTTAATATATGCACAGGAAGGAAAAAATTATGTGCTTTCACAGTGAGCATTTAATGGACCACAGAAGAGAACACACCCTGGAGGCTCAGGTAAGGGGTTAATAATGCTACACTTTGTGTGCCTGAGGGAGCCTGGGTCCTAAGTGATCTAAATTATAATGTATTTGCTTCTGTTAGAAGCTTGTGGTCCAGGGATATGGGTTTGCTCTCTGTTCATGAAAACAGAATAGCAGTCGGTGTTCCTGTATTTCCATTTGGCTTCTCCAGTGTCCTGATGGAATGTGATGTTCTTTGTCACCAGTGGCCTGATGTCACACACAAGCGCACATGCACGCGAGCACATGCACACACGAAAAGTACTTTCTCTTCTGAATCATGCCACAGCTGGTCCGCTAGCTTCTTAACCTTCAATTCCACAAAGGTTGCCACCACTTTCATCATTAAGTCAAAATCCCACAGTGCCTTCTAATTGAAGGTGGAGCCTACCAGATTATTTTGCATAAAATCTTGAGTTTCAGTGCATCAGACATGCTCAAAAGAGGAGTGTAATTAAGGAGGAATGTAATTAAAGATGCTTCAGGAAAGTTGGGGAGCAGAATTAATTCTTTTCTTGCATCTTAGGAGCAAGGAAATCCTACTGCTGAATAGCAGTTAGTATCTATTTTACAAGATTTACTCATTTTCAGGTACCTAATGTAGCTGCTAGCATGCATGCACAACAATACAATTTATATGGTAAATGGAACCAAATAATGGCTTCACTGAATGTTATGGCTGCACTGAAGGGAAATGTCACGGTAAATAGCTGCCAAATTATGGATCATGCCGAAGTGTCACAACTGCACTAAAGACAAATAGCACTAGAGGCTATTGCCACTGTGACGCTTTTGAGTTATGAAGAAGGGTAGCAGCCTGATTCGAGGCTCTTTGTGTCCTTATCCTTGCAAAGGGCTAGTAGTGCAGGGGACAAGAAAGGCTCATCCAGTGTGGTGCTTAGTTATTAATCGGTCCCTTTCAGAGCTAACAGCTTAGCAAAACAGAAAGAGACTTTGCTTCCTTGCTCTTCGATATACAAACAAAGCAGGTGTGTGTGGGGGACAGGTTTTATGAATGTAACTATGCTCAGAAAATGACTGGTAATGGAAAAATGTTGTTATAAAATAATCTAATCAAAGGATATTATTAAATTTAACATAGTATATGTCTGAAAGGCTTAGTTTCTTCTTATGCAGATAGATGTGTGAAATCTAAGCAATAATGCACTTTCTCTCTCCATAAAGACTTGAGGACTGAGGATATTACCAACTAAATTGCTTCTTCTAAACTGAAGTGAGTCCCGGATTCTTTCACTTTAATGGGAGGGTAATAAAGATGAAAGACCAACATTTTATCTGATGGATCCCTTAAGCTACAGAATAGAAATTTATTATGTTTTGAGGGGATATACTAAATTCAGCTATGCAAAAGTAAAATCCAAACACCCAGGTTTAAAACAAAACATAATCGGAAAACCTCATGTACTCTCTGTCCCTAAACTGAGAAACTACAGTGCATGCTGTTTTCATTTATTCTTAGAAAACAAGCATGAAAGATTTCACTTATTCAGATAATGCCAAAAATATGTTTAAACGTTTTTTTATTCTTTTGAAAAATGATTTGTAAATTGAAGGTCATAGTTCAGCATCAGTTTCACCCTCTGGGATTATTGTTCAAGACTAGCCTCTAATGGGAGGTGAAATGGTGCGAAGGTTCCTGCACCTTCTCAGCTGTGTTACATATCACAAAAAGTACATCCATAATTCAGGGCTGTTGTCAGTCTTTGTTTTAGAGGAGGGGCTGGGGCAGAACAATCACAGTGGGTAAAACATTTCTCAGTTTTCAGCGTGGCCATGTCTGCATGTTGGGTTTAAGGTCACTGGCCAGGCAGGATGGAAGGAGGTTGGCTCTTAAAATAAAGCATTCCAAGAAGCAGGCACCATTTGGTCATGACTTCTAGAAAGCCAAATGCTATTTTTTCAAATCTGTTTTGCATGCAGAAATGACCAACAGTATCTTTTCAGGTCCCTTTGACAATGATAACTACTGCTGACTGATTTCACCATAAAAAAATAATATCAAGGATTAGTTTGCAAAGAAATGACAAGTTTGCACAGTATGTTCTATAAATTGTATGATTCCATCCGAATGAAGTTTCTCAGGAGTGGAATAAATGGTCATTAGTATTATGTTCCGTATTTATCCAATGAACATGCAATGACAAGTAGCTGCTGCTTATTAAAATGAAAATACTGCATTATGTACTTGAGGAACATTGCAGCTAATGAGGATGTAATGTCCTCGGTACAGCACAGACCTTCTTTTTGTGTTTCTCACCACAAGATGCTGGAAACTTGACAAATGATATCATTTAAGACACATGCCTGCCTTAGGGACCTGGTTTTTGGCTTCCTGTGTTTGGCTTTTATTTGGGTAACATTTATAATGGCCACCCGACTTGTACCTGTAACGTTTTAACCCGTCCTGGAGCATGAATTTACCACAGTCATGGTAGCCTTTACACTTGATCTTAGCCAAAAGGCCGAGAAGCGACCATGGTAGCCTTTAAAATAAGGCAGAGTGCTAAGCACCAAAATGTTTTTCTTGATTACTTTACCACATGTACATGTGGGATAAATACCATATTGTAGATTATATAAAATTAGATGAGCAATGTGCAGCTTTCAGATAAATACAATAAAAGACCCATAATTATCAACATTGGATGATAATGTCCTACGATTTTCAAATTTTATGAATACAATTCAGGTAAAAATTTGCCTGATTTGATGAATTCATGATTTCTCTATACTTTTCCACACTCTAACATAGTTTATGATTTATAATATTTATAGAAAAATCACTCAAGCTTTATTAATAGTGAATTTTGCGATTTTTTTTTAGTTTTCTTTTGACTGTTCATTTGTTTGGTTTTGAACAGCTACATTTTCTATAATTTCCCAATTGTGGCCCAGAATTAAATATTTAGTGTCGTATTTCCCCTGAAAGCCAAAATTCAGAGCCTGGTTATCAGTGCTGTAGTGGTATGGTCATGCTAAATATAGAATTCTGTTTTTACTAGCCTTTTATCATCATGCTATTTCAATTTATAAAAGGAAGAATGCTTGGTATGAGAGCTTTATTGCTGTTACCATGAACAGCCTACAGAAGATCAACCAAAAAATTATATGAAATACAAAAATAATATTTTACTAACATATCAGTTCAAGTAAATCTTTGTATAGAGATTTGATATTCAAAGAAAGCCAAATAAAGATAAAAAACATGCCCTGATTTACGTACTATGTACCATGTACCCTTGATACCCTGTTTGTAGACCTTCCTCTCAGGGCCACTCCAAGCATCCCAAGAGTTGGATGCACTCAGGAAGTGTGTAGTGGATCCCCCAAGCAGGAGGGTAAGTACTGCATGGAGGACAGTTTGGGGAAAACCAATATATGTTTCATATGTGCTGAGAAGCCATGAGCCAAAAGCACAGAGATTTAAACGGTCCCCCTAAGTAAGAGTTTCCCTTGAAGGGTACTATCTGACTGTGTCTTTCTGCCAACATGAAATTAAAATAATAATTAAAACACACCCTGCTGATGGGCGGCAGTATCCAATATGAAAGACGGATTTGTGCTTAAGAGCTCAGAAAAATGTTCCATGAAAATGCCAGCTACTGTTGTTTCTTACTCTCTCCGTGTGGAGAGCTGAATAGGGCCTTAGAATGACTCGTGTGAACAGCTCCTTTGGTCAGTGGAAGGTGGGGAAAGATGTAAGGAAAACAGGGCACCCCACTTGGAGTCTCTGCCATATACCCTGTGTGTCTAAACCTGAAAGATCCATGCCAACTCAGAAGCAGAAACTTAAAACTGGGACGAGCTTGTGTCCCTCTCTGCCTTCATAAATGAATTGCTCTTTAACCAGCAAAATGTGGGGTTTAAGGGTAATCTAGTTCTACCTATTTTACAAGCAATGAGTCTAAGACCCAGAAAGAACAGGAGCCCTGTTTAAGGTTACAAATTCTGCTGGCTTCAGAAGCCAGTACACAGATAAAGCCCTCCCAGTGCATCAGGCCACCTCTGCACCATCCTCTTTGCCATCTGCCAGGGTCCCCCAGCGTCTGGCTGAGCGTGCTGCAGAACAACAGCTGTTCTTTGTTATGAATCTTCTGTGGATAAGAGGATGGCAAACCCAGGGAAAGTATGGTTCTGACCCTGACAGTGTCATCACCTCTTTAATCGAGCACAAAGTAGGATGGCAGATCATTTGATTCTGTGTCATCTAAATATCACACAGCC